AAATCATGATTCTCGTGCTCGAACGAAATGGATAGTAAAAGTTGTAGTAGTAATTTTCCCACGGCAAAATGATTTCATTTCGCACCATGATAGCAAAATCTTTTTATGCTGTATTTTTTGTTCTTACTGTTTTCCTATTGCGTACATGTAAATTTCAAATAGTACTTCTGTATGTATAGGTGTGTGTGTGTGTGCGTGCGTGCGTGCGTGCGTGTGCGCGTGCGCGTGCGTGTGTGTTTATGTATATGCGTAACAAATATATTATTTCTGTTTGTGCGTGCGAGTGTGTTAATTTTTCCCTGATTTCTAGATAACTTGAGATTAAATTGTCAAAATTTGCAAAGACATATATATATATATATATTTTAGCACTTGTGTTAAAAGCTTATAATATTTACCTATGAAATTTGTATGTTGATGATATCCACTTTCCCCACATGAAATTTAAATTATGATACCCATTTAACATTTAATATTGATATATATATTTGTACACATGTAATTACAAAATGTCACCTTGTAATCTGTGCCTCTCAAATAAAGATTATGTTCTGTTCTGTTCTGTTCTTACAAGCACATTCTAGTTATATAATACACATTATTGTACTCATCGTCCCCCGGGGACGTTGCCTCATCATATATATGCTGTTCATTCCGTAAAATATTGCACTCAGAAATTACCCCAAAACACTGCCAAGCCCCATTTCCTGTAGCATATTATGCCCCATGAATAATACTGGCTGATTAAATGATACTTGTTGATTAGATAAACACGGCAACACACTTTAAAAGATTTGCTATTTTTATTTGTTCTATTCCATATCCACAGTGTAAATAAATGAATGTTTGCATCTCAAGTATTGTGTATGTTCTGAGATAGAATATGTTTGAACTAGAATACAAAGGATCTTACAGAACTTAAACGATATATTTGATTCTTATAAGATAAAACTGTCTTTTATTTTTTCCTCGTTGTTTCAGAAACAGTTATATTTTTCGCTCTTTATTGTTCTATTTATTTTGGTCGTTTTGATAGCTTTAGTGTAACAAAACCATAACAATTAATGACAATAAAGAAGTTTGGAACAAAATGAAGCATTGTTATATTAAAAGGGATAGTTAACCATATTTCAGCATTCATTTAATTTGCTCTTTTCAACTGTAGATAAAGAAAGGGAGATAATCTTAAAGCTTCTTTTTTTAACTGATAATTCATTTCGACAATGGTTAAATGATAATGATAATTGTAATAATTAATTCTTTTTTATTCACTGTTTTAAAAGAAAGAAGAAGAAAGGATAATACTCATTATTCAGCCAATCGATAGAAAGCTTGATGTTTTAAATGAAAATTTGCTAAATTTCTTCTCCTTAAGAAGTCAATGTAAATAGGTTGTTATTATAAAATAGTGACATTGGATAGATGCTGTAACTCATATTTTTATGGTTTCATATCATAAATCTAATGCTCAAATGAAGATTTATCAATATTGTAAGTTCCAAAAAGAATTATATGTAAAGATATTACCGAATTTACATTTCATGTTAATAAAGGGATGTAGCTAGAAATTTATTTTCCATAAAGTCTAAGTCATATTTTTCAATAAGAAATGAATGCATACATTTTAATGATTACATATAATGTGAGTATTCTTGATGTTTGAAAATTGTTTTGGAAGCATAATGATACACATGTTTAAAATTTCACTTAAGTGTGGTAACAACCTAAGCCGTCTTAGTATAAATAATGATGAGAAATTTGCCTTTGATTCAGGTTTTCGGGTGGAAGAAGTTGAAAAGGTTATTATGGGTTTTAAACTCACAAAATCCCCCGGTGAAGACGGCCTCACTGCAGAAATTTATCAAAAATTTTGGTACTAAATAAAAAACAACTTTCTTGAAGTACTTTTAGAAATTATTGGTTCTTATAATTTATCAAATTCACGACACAGGGGTGTTTTATCATTGCTTTATAAAAACTGGGATAGATCTGATCTTAAGAAGTGGCGTACACTTACACTTCTAAATGTCGATTACAAAATTATTTCGAAATGCTTAGCAGAAAGACTGAATCCATGGCATAATTATCGAAGTTGCTTCATTCAGATCAAAAAGTTTTCATTAAGGGTAGATAAATTTCAGAGGCAAACAGACTCATACAGGACGTAATAGATTACACTGATCTAGAAAAGAAAGATGGTGTTATAATTTTTTTAGATCAAACTAAGGCTTTTGATAGGGTAGAATGGGATTGGCTAGATATCTGCTTGAAAAGGTATGGTACAGGAGACAAATTCAGAAAATGGGTTCAAATGTGTTAAGTCGGCTCTTTTATTTCTGAATATTGTCAAATTTCCCGCTCTTTTTAAACAAGGTTGTCCAATAGCGCCGTTTCTCTATATCTTACAAGCAGAACCAATGGCTTGTGCAATCAGAAATTATATTAATATACACGGCATTAAATTGCCTTCGTTAAATGGGTATGAACTTGAATTAAAAGTATGTCAATTTGTTGACGATACACAATTTTTTTTGTGAGAATGAGTTTTCAGTTCCAGAAATATTTAATACTTTAAAAGAATATGAAATTTCCTCTTGGGGATAAAACAACAGGCATCTTTATTGGAAAATCAAAAGAAAGGACTCCGAAATTTAAAGATATAAAATGGACGAGAAATTATGTTAAAACTTTAGGAATTTGTCACGGCTATACTATAGATACGAACGAAATTTGAATGAAAAAGCTAAACGAAATTAAAAATTGTCTTCAAGTATAGAAAGCTCGGGGTCTAACTTTTAAAGGTAAAATTCTTGTTCTGAAAACATATGTAGTTTCTATTATTAATTTTGAAATTAAAACGTGCGGTATACCGACAATATACATAGAAGAAATCGAAAAAATTATGAGCGATTTTCTTTGGGTCAATAAGCGACCGTTAGTTTCCAAAAGCACAATTTTCCTTAACCTGAAAGACGGAGGCCTTAACTATTGTAATATTTCAAATATTCAAGCCAGTCTGGATGTTAAAACAATATACAAAATTGTACAGCCTGACATACACAACTGGAACGCAATAGGAAAAGATATTTTTTACAAAAAATGATACTAATGGGGAAGACAGAATTGATTATTTTCTATGTAAATGTTCTTCATTACAAAATTTACCTTTCAAATTGAACATAAGTACGTTTTACAAATCCGCCCTCGAAAATTGGTGTCGGTTTAAAGCGAAGTTTAAGCCAAAGTCTCTATCCGATGTAAAAAATATATTTCTTTTTTTGTCGCAAGAAAACATTATACCTCAATTCATTTGTTAAAAGTAATATATTGTTTTTAAAAGATATTTGGGACTTTGAAAACAATAATTTTATTAGCATAGACACTCTTTTAAGGAAATTAAAATGTACGCGAAATTGGCTTGCCGAATGGCATATTCTCAAATCGAGCATTCCTAAAATGTATATAACTGCTTTTAAAGAACAGTGTCGAATTACACACACTTAGACGATATTGTTTTAACGAGCAAGACGTTTTGAAATATCGTAACAATTGTAAGCATAATTATTCATATCAACCAATACCTATTTTGTTAAGAAATTTGTCCAATGATATAAAATACCAATTTGAATACAAGTGTAGAAATAAAGACGATTCTGTGACAGAATTTTAAAAATATTTGTAATTTGTATGAATATTACCTTAATGCTGTGTTCTCACCGCCGATCAGATCAACTCGATCAAGCACGATCAAGCGATCGGGTACCGGTCTAGCTCGGTCTGCATGCGTGATCGGGGGTGGTCAGAGCGGTCTACCTTGGTCGGCATTGCTCGGGCTTCCTACCCGAATTTTTTTGACATGTCAAAAAAATTCAAGTAGCGATCGAGTAGATAAGACTTCGATAAGCGACCGTATAGTGATCGAGTAGAAGATCTAGTTGATCGAGAATAAATCGTGTAACGATCTAGTTTGGTCGGATATATATCGGGTATACATCTCTTACCCGATCTGTACACGATCATCTCGACTTCTACTCGAGCATTATCCGATCTGGTCGTTGGAAATCTGGCAACGATCGAGCAGAGGTCCAGTTTGTCTAGTTGAGATCGTGTATGACTCGCGTATAGGTCTGGGTGATCGCGAAGAAGTCGGGATGTTGGTCGGGTTGTCGTCGAGAAGAAGTCGTAAACATGGTCGACTTGAGGTCGTGTAGGAATCGTGAATTTGCATTTAATCAAGCTTGCTCGGACATCATCGGGGAATTGATGTGATCGGGACGATCGAGTTGATCTGATCGGCGGTGAGAACATAACTTTAACGTATGGGACGCAACTCAATTGAAATTATAGATTTAATTCATAAAGAGTTAACTCGCTTGTCAACCTTGTCACTTTTCGTTTTTTCGGCCAAGTAAATGATACTTCTGCGAATTCATATACTTTTTCACATTATCTGTTCTGCTTATTTTGTAAGAAATCAAATATATACTTGCATTACTGTAAGGCTGATAGGAGGATGCTCCTCGACCCCTATTATGCCAATGACGGTGAAAATAAACGGGGTTACCCCTTAACTGGGCGCCCGAAACTGAAAAAAAAAATTGCTACACTGTAATGCAATAATCAATTCACATATCATAAAATGAATCGACCTTGGTTTTAGTTGTTTTCGACCAGTACATCGATCATAGCTTTCATCAAATAGAACGATAGTTGACATGTTAAGGAGAACAGTGCAAATAATAAACATAATCGAATCATAAAACACTGCATTATTATAATTATTGAATACATATATATTGATTTGCCCTGTGATAATTGTAAGACATATGATTTGTTTTGTATGTAAGTTATTAGGTAAAACATAAGTCAATAGAAATATTACTTGAAAGGTCGGAGAGGCTTAGTTTACGATATTCCATTTTTTGCAAGAACATATTTGCGAAAATGATTAAAACAATAATGTTATAGTGAAAGTGGTACCGCTAGATTGGAAGTTTGGAACCTGTGAAAAATCTAAAGTGATACAGAAAATAAAAGAAAAGGAACAATATTGTGACTTGGATTATTATTGACAGCAGTAAAGTGTACAGAATATGACTAACAAGTCATTTAGTAACAGTACGTCATTATTTGACGAGCTAGATGCACTAGAAGCAGGGTTTTTCTTCTTAGAAACTGTACTTTTTATTCCAACAGTTTTTGGAAATACACTAATATTAATATGCCTTAGGAAATATCAATGGCTGAGAACTCCATTAAATTCGTTGATAAAAAACCTGGCAGCCGCTGATCTTCTAATAGGAGTACTTTTAATCCCATTTGATATAGTTGGGACATTTTTTGGATTAAATCGCCTCCGTTATGTTTGTTTAGTTCAGCTAGCAATACTGGTGTCGCTGTTGCTGGTCTCTCTGTTTAGTATGTTCGCGATATCCGTGGAAAGATATTTATCTGTTGCGTTTCCATGGCAACACAGGGCAACAAAAAGACATAACTATGTTCGTATCTTTGTTCCTATATGTTGGACAATAAGCATAGGTTTCAGTATAATACCATTACTCGGGATACATGATTTCATAGACGGAAAAAGTCGATGTCATCTCACACTTGTTTGGCCTCAAGAAATGCGAGTAACGTTGAGTTCAATAGTTGTTATTGTGGTCATCACAAAAATCACGTTGTATTCTCTAGTTGTGAATATTGCACTGGGAAAACTCACTAACTTTTCAGAGGGAGGCGATCACTCACGAATGCGGAGGAAACTGGCAAAGACATACATTCTTATCGCAATATCAGCGATATTTATAATATGTTGGGCACCATATTGTATTGTGACTTTCTTCAAAATTTTCTTTGACTACGACGAGTTAAAAATAGCAGCCGGTTGGACGATTCTTCTTGTGTTCATTAATTCCGGATTGAACTGGCTTATATATGGTTTGAAAAACGCTAAAATACGACGTGCCTTTAAAATGTTATTATGTAACGTAGGAGAAGACAGAAATTCTGTAGAAATGAGCTCTTGAAAACTTGATGTTCCCAAATTGAGCGAACTATTTTAACAATATATATAGAAATTAATACTCGTAGTATAATTAAATTTACATTTCTGTGTTATCGGCGGGATAGCGTATGGTTAATATAGCCATATAATGTGTATTGCCAGTCTGTCAATGACAGGCGACCTTTTGTTAACCTAGTAATTATCCAATGAAGGGAATATTATATGGCAATAAAAACGTAAATCAAAAGTTGCATTATGACGAACATACCTACCGGTCATGTTACTGATATTTTTATCTCTTTTTTCACGATGGGTATTTCATTTACAAATGAACTACAGTCCGCGTTTTCGCGGTTTTACATCGATAAAAGGCACACGAACAAGCACGCGCACGCACGCGCACGCACACGCACACACACACGCACACATGTTTATAAGAATTATGATTTCGCCCATTTTGATTAAGTTGTAAGTTATTGGTTATTATTTGTTAAAAGCATTACAGCTTACTGTAAATTGTTTATTAAGGTAATGTATGGAAAGAGTTACAAAGATTTTTAGTTTTGACTTATAAAGTGAGTATGTTATTCTATAAACTTTTAATTGGTTACTTAACGTAAGATTGCATTACAATATGAAGCAACAACAACTAATGTATAAACACTGTAAAATTGATTTTAAATGCGAATGATATCTAAATATGTAAGTAAAATGATAGCAAGCAATGATTATCAATGATACAGAGAACATTTCCTCATTCCTTTATTGAAACGACCGCATAGATAAAAATAAAATTCTGTAAGCTATGTGGTTCTGGTGAAGTTGAAGATGTACTGTATTTTATGACTTACATGCACTACACATAGTATAATCAGGAGACAGATTATTGCAAAACCCCGATCATGCCTGAAATTGTCCTGTTTGTTATTTCAGTTGGATACAACGTTTAGTTTTATACTAAAATGTGACACCAAAATAGAAGACAACATGTAAAGCTAAAATGTTTGTACCGAACTGCAATATCTTAGGCCAGCCATAAGAACTAATTTGTTATAACCTGATTTTTTAATTTTTTTTCGGCCGAAGGCCGTCTAATTTCACCTCGACTTCCGCTAAAATTAACAGTAAAGAAATAAATATAGGCAGAATTTTCATTTGTCATTTTAACATTCGATTGATACTTTAGAAGAGCTACCGTTATAGGTAGAGGTCTGTTCGATTGCGCGATGGCAAGAAGTGTTGGAAAAGGATACAAATCAGAATAAATATGAAAACACAATAATGATATTTTCTAGACGATTCTAACAGCTTTTCAATAAATATATGAAATTAAATATGACAGATCTTTGCATTCGATTAAGTTTCTCTTCTAAGCTGTTCTAGTCATTATATTCTCTTCTCGAATCGGACATAAGACGATTGAAACGAACTTTCGACTAATTTACAGTTGCAAAATTCTCCGTTGAATTAGTGTACAGTATCTACTAACTTTTTGTTTTATTGTAAATTCCTATTCAAATCAAATTTTAATTTTGATTAAAATAAATTATGTCAGTTATATTGTTTAAATCTAAGATGACAATTAATGGGGAAAAACATTGCGGGTAAAAATGAACTGAAATAAAACTATTGAGGACGAATGAAATGTTCTGTTTGCGGTTAGCATGGTTAGTAGTAGCTTATCCTATGCAAGTAATAAGTTTGACTTCGGTCAAGTATCTTTTTAAAGATACATCTTGTTTTCAGTGTCTGAGTTATAAAGACTAGCGCAATGCATTATGGTATCTATGTATTATAAATGTAACTATATAAATAATGTATCTCTGTTTCATAAAAAATGTTTAAAACCATCGAAGCACGAACATGATACTTGCTGATATTTGCATATGTTTGTTCAGGCATGTATGGATGATGTATTAAAATCATAAATATAAAAACGTTTTGCTTTGTTCTATCACCTATTTATTCATATGTTTAATATTAATTAAATAGCAGACATGGCTTTGAGACTACTGTGTTAGTTTAAAGAATAAATGCTTGTTAATTTTCACGAACAGAAATATTGATGAGACCAATTAATAACAAATGTTGTATTCCGCGTATCATGGAGAGATTGTAATGATTCTATACATTGTGATTGTGCAATTGATATAGGAGCAGCTAGCATTGATATTGTTATATAAACTATACAATTTCGTTATAGAATTATGTAGATTAATAAACTGTATTTGCAACGAATGTGACATCGAGAAATTATAACAGGTATAAAATACAACAATTGAAAAGAATTAAAACATTTTTTATTTCATTTTCCTCAACCAGCCAGTACTTTTGTCTACATACATGTGTTACACACAATTCATAACAAATCACATTTGTAACAGATTTATCACTAATGGGGTCACATTCTGCAACAGGTAAAATAAAAAATTATGCAGTGTTTGCCCGAAACGAGGGTCGACATAAGTGCACATGTAACATACTGACAATATTCAATTAGTTAATAGTCTCATATTTGTCATCAGCTGATAAGTACCGCTTCACTAAATCATCATCTCGCCGAAACAGTTATCTGAGTTGATAAAAGCGGCATGGATTTTTTAGTTTAAAGGGTCGCTTGTTCGAGTCCAACTTGTAGCAACTTTTTAAAAGTGTCTTATTTGCGTCAACGAGGTCGCTATAGTAGTTTAAAGTTACGAAGTTAGTATGACAATAGACTAAATATTCGTATACCTTATTAATAAAGTTTTAGAGTAAAGTAAAAAAAATAAATTTCTTTGAGTGAAAAATATTACTTTTATTGGTGCGGAATTTAATGTTTTTTTTCTCAAATCTTTATGGTCAGTCTGCCTGACATTTACTTTTGCCTTTTGTGCATAATGCAAAAGCATGATATCAATACACAAGTCTATATCTATCATATGTGGCTAAATGGAGATGAAATATTAGTATTTTAGGAAAACTGTATATGTAATGGTTTCGGCAAGGACATTAATGAATTACATATTTAGTACCAAATATACCATCTTTACTATCAAGACTCAAATAATGTAAGTCTGATTTGATTTGATTTTCAAGGATAGCCTACGAGTTTCCAGTAGGGTCCTCGCTTCAGCAGACACTAGAGACAGCTATGAGATACAACGGAATCCGGGAACCAGTCCCTAACTCTTATTGAACAAATTACATTCCCAGTATATAGCACTGCCTCATGCCAGGATTACCTGGGTTTCGTACCAGTATTCCTCATTGTTTTTTTCATATTCTTAAGATTTCTTAGAATAAACACATATTTTACCTTCAGGTTGACATGTTTGCATCCCCCCAAACAAAAAATAAATAAATAAAAAGCACTTTAGAAGCACAATTCATGTGTTCACATCAATTTTAATACGATAATGCTTGAAAAGTGTAAAAATCGCCGTAAAATGCGATATTTTTCTATTTTGTGATCATGATTTCTTTAAGCGTCTGGAGGTACTGCTCCAACACTGTAGTGAGTTAAATCCAATCAACAATAGTGCCAAATTATTAATGACGAGAAACAACATGATGATGACATCGTAAATATCTTAATACGTTGAGCATTCTACTTTGTTACATACATAATTGAGCCGCGTCACGACAAAACCAGCATGATGGGTTTGCGACCAGCATGGACCCACTATGTTGGTTTTGTCGTGACGCGGCTCATATATTTTTAATGTACAGCTGGGAAACCTATTAGTTTCAAAATTGTGATATCACTTATTAAAAGAGCCATATCATGATAGTCATAAGTTAGGACATTTTCCTTGAAACGCAAAAATGTCTCAGTTTTGGACTTAGAACTGATTTCAGACATAACGCAGCAGTGAATCTTAATACCAAAGTTCCTTACATTAGATAAGGACAAATATTTTTAAATCATAAACTGTTAATGACGATCGTTACATAGATTTAAAGGGATAAATGTTAAATTTCTAAAGCACGATTTTATTCACATGTTTAGACAAGACAAAATAAGATCAAAATAATCTACATTTACATTTAAAACAATGCAAACCAGTCTTTAAGAAATACGAAAGACAAAAATGTTAAAATGCAATACAGTATTTCGACTAATGTATCATCTCTGACTGTATTTGATAAAATCAAACAGTTGCTATATCGTTCCTGTTATAACCATTTTTACGATACGTTAGAAAATTTATAAAAACGCTACTGGGAAGTTTAGGCACTCTCCCACCATCTGATAATATTCCTAAAAAACCCCCTTAGAATATTATTAATCTTTCTGGACAGGTCTGCCCTTGTTAACTTGTACGCAGTAAACATGTTTGTCCGGATAATTATTTTTCGTAAAATGGAAGGAACAAATGCCATGCCAGATTGCAAGAAGACCATCAATGTATAAACAACATCCAACATGTTTAATTATGGAGTGTAAATTATTTATTCTGAAATTGATACATTTTCGTAAATAACTATTCCGATGCAAAAAAACCTAACAATTTAAAAATCAAATAGCTATTAATATGGAGTGTAAATTAAGATTGAAAATAAACATGTTAATATTACTTACAAAAATCATACACATTATCAAAGAAGTTCATACTATAAGAGCACAATATTTAAATTACATTGTAATCACCTACAGTATAAAGTCGCATGAACCACTCGCATTGGTATGTACTTGTCACAAATTATCCACAAGTCCTTTTAGCCGAATGGTAAGATCGCTGGCTTCCACTTTTGCTGAGTCAGGATCTTTCATGTTATACTTACCAGTACATGTTCATAGGGTTTTGCACTACTTAAGTCCGCCAATGATTAAAAAGTGCACAAAGACCCGAGGTTTTCCTCCGCCAGTAATGTTTTTGTGACTTAATACTGAGCGAAACAATAACAAAATGTTTAAGAATATTTCGATAACACACTGTGCAAAATATTAATATCGAGATATATGATTTAGAATATCGCATGTTAATCAATAGAGTCACAAAGAGAAATGGTTGTATTCATTTGTTAATTATGACAATGGCTGTAACGTGCAATAAATAAATAGTTACGTACCAGCTATCAACGCTGAACACGAAGCTATATGATAAGCGGTGAAGGAATTGTATTTTGCAAATAAACCGTATGCACCAGCAACAAGGCATATACAAATAAATGCAATACACGTCATCGCACATGCGCTTGCCATTACCTCAAGGTCTAAATAAAAATAAAACA